CCATCATTCCTGGCTAATTTTTTTGTATTTGTAATAGAGATGGGGTTTCACCATGTTGGTCAGGCTGGCCTCAAATTCTTGACCTCAGGTGATCCACCCACCTTGGCCTCCCTAAGTGCTGGGATTATAGGTGTGAGCCACCTCACCCGGCCTCTCCCTTCTAATTTTTTGAGAGAGTAAACTATGTTTGTTGTCTTGCTCCTTTACTCTCTATTTTCTTAGTCTGTTGTGATCTCTCTTCTGCCCCTGTAATTCTCTCAGATACCCACATTAAGCTCACCAGTATTCTTTCAGTTGCCAAATAGCCAAATAGACTCTTTAGAGTCTTAACTTACGTACCTTCTCTGCCTCATCTGTCATTCTGTTCTTCCTTTTAAACATTGCCTTGTTTAATTTCAAAAAATTTCATTTCAGGAAACAGACACAAATCACTGTTAAAAGTTTAATGTATTTACATTTTTCTTCTTGACAGATCTCTCATCCATTCATTTTTGTGAAACCATTTTCTCCAGTTTTGTTTTGTTTTCCTCTTTCTCTTCCTGTTTCTCAGTTTATTTGATATACTTTCTTCCTCCACCTGTCCTTTACAGAGTGGCATTCTCCAGTATTGTGTCCTTGGCTTTATATTCTTTCAACTGCATGCTGCCTTCTTGGTTACTTTCATAATGGTGCATTTGAAAAGTTAATACACATACATATGTATATAAACACACACACACACACACACACACACACACACACAGTAAAATATGTATGTGAAAAATTACAAAGCCTACAAGAGTTGATATTTTCACAAAGTAATTTCTCCCCCCATTTTTCTTCCTCAGAGTCGCCCTTCTAGGGAGATTATGTGCATATGCTAGTATGTAGGTATTTATATATTTATTTATATAATTCTTTAAAAAAATTTTATATGAATCATAGCATACTCAATACTAATTTGCATCTTTTTAAGTCTAAAACTATGTAGGAGATTATTTCAGATGAGTACACAGATATATATTCCATCTTTTTAGTGGCTATATGACTTTTTATTAAGTATTTGTGTTTTCCTTTCCCTGTACCACATGACATCTTATTTTGAAAGAATTCAAACTTATAGAAAAGTTTAAAGAACTTTTATTTATTTATTTATTTATTTTTGAGACGGAGTTTCACTCTTGTTACCCAGGCTGGAGTGCAATGGCGCGATCTCGGTTCACCACAACCTCCGACTCCTGGGCTCAGGCAATTCTCCTGCCTCAGCCTCCTGAGGAGCTGGGATTACAGGCACGTGCCACCATGCCCAGCTAATTTTTTTTGTATTTTTAGTAGACATGGGGTTTCACCGTGTTGACCAGGATGGTCTCGATCTCTTGACCTCGTGATCCACCCGCCTCGGCCTCCCAAAGTGCTGGGATTACAGGCTTGAGCCACCGCGCCTGGCCCTTAAGAACTTTTATTAACAGTTAACATCACCTCATATACCTACCTACCCTTTTCCTTCCTTCTTTCTTTACTTATTATTTTTAAATTGTAGTTTAGGTTCTGGCGTACATGTGCAGATCATGCAGGATTGTTGCATAGGTACACACATGGCAATGTGGTTTGCTGCCTCTATCCCCCATCACCTACATCTGGCATTTCTACCCATGTTATCCGTCCCCAACCTCCCCACCCACCCTCCGCTGTCCCTCCCTTGGCCCCCGCAACAGACCCCAGTGTGTGATGCTCCCCTCCCTGTGTCCATGTGTTCTCATTGTTCAACACCTGCCTATGAGTGAGAACATGCAGTGTTTGATTTTCTGTTCTTGTGTCACTTTGCTGAGAATGATGGTTTCCAGACTTTTTGCAAGTTAACATTGTAAGTATCATCACAGTTTATTCCAAAATTACTCAATATGTATGTCTTAGGGGCTAAGATACTCTTTTATGTAATCTTAATACCTTAATCACACCAAATAAATTTAACATTGGTACAGTGTTACTTAATATAAAATCTGTATTCAAATTTCCACAGTTGCCCCCAGAATGTTCTTTATAGTGTTTTATTTCTCTCTCCAATCTAGGAGCCAATCAAGAAGGCCTAAATGTCATAGGCCTTTCATTTAACTACTATTAAAATAGATGACTGCTGAATTAGATCGCTGGATCAAACTCTTTCCTGAAGCAGACTTAAATATCTGCTAAATATAATTATTGGATGTCCCACTGGCAACTCCAGAATAGCATGTCCACAGTGAGCTCAGTATTTTCTGCTCTTGAATTACTTTTCTTCCTATATGCCCAACTTAGTGCAAGGTGTCCTTCAAATGTTGCTTCAACAAAAAACCTCTGAGTCATCTTAACCTTCCTCTTTGACACTGTACATGCTACTTCCTTTGCCTTGGATTATCTTCCTACCTTGTCTATCTGGTTCAGCCTTTAAGACCCAGATTAAGCTTTACTCCCTCTAGGAAGCCTTCCCTGGCCTTTTTTTTTCTCTAGGCAGAATTAAATGTGTCTCCAGTGGACTTCCTTCGTATCCTCTACACACACCTGTGCCATCAGTTACCACTTTCGGTGGTAATTATTGATTTATGTATCTGCCTTCTTAATTAGAGTGAGCTCCTTAAGTTGGTGTGGACTTAACTTTTTTTTTTTAAATTATTGAATTTTAGGTTTTGGGTTACATGTGAAGAACATGCAATATTGTTGCATGGGTACACACATGGCAGCATGATTTGCTGCCTTCCTCCCCTTCACCTATATCTGGCATTTCTCCCCATGCTATCTCTCCCCAGCTCCCCACCCTCTGCTGTCCCTCCCCTATTTCCCCACAACAGACCCCAGTGTGTGATGCTCCCCTCCCTGTGTCCATGTGTTCTTTAACTCTTTTCTTTACTAGGGATAGTAACGAAGTACCTGGCTTGTAAATGCTTAATAAATATTTATGAAATGGAAGAATATGCGAATAGTCTTCTCTTTATCAAGTATAATCAAAGATTTTTCAAATGATGCAGACAGTAACTGCAGGGAGAGAAAGGTTAATGAATGTTTCTGAGTACTTACTATGTACCAGTTACTTTTCTTTGTATTTGCAAATGGTATTTCACTTAATCTCTACAACTTTTATTTTTCAAAAGAGGAAATTAAAGTTAAGGAAGTGTCCCAGATTATAAGTAAAATTTGAACCCAAGTTTGACTGACTCTAGAAATATGCTTTTAAGTATTTTAAAGGCAATTAAGGCCGGGCATGGCAGCTCATGTCTGTAATCCCAGAACTTTGGGAGGCTGAGGCAGCCAGATCACTTGAGGTCAGGAGTTCGAGACTAGCCTGTTAACGTGGTAAAACCACCTCTCTACTAAAAAATACAAAAATTGGCTGGGCATGGTGATGGGTGCCTGTAATTCCAGCTACTTGGGAGGCTGAGGCAGGAGAATCACTTGAATCTGGGTAACAGAGATTGCAGTGACCCAAGATTGCACCACTGTACTCCAGCCTGGGTGATAGAGCAAGACTTAGTCTCAGTCAGTCAGTCAGTCAGTCAAAAAGATGATTAAGGGAGTTATATGTGAAAGTGTAAATTTAAAGAAAAAATACAGTATCCAATTGTAGGACAATAAATTATGGTATATCCCCACAATTAAAGGTTATATAGTCATTACAAAGTATGTGATTGAGCAATACTTGCTGTCTTGGGAAAATGTTTATGATGTAATGTGAAGTACTAAAAGGTAATATATAAAAGTATTAATTTTTTAAAAATGTGTATACATACACAGAAAAGACTGGAAGGAAATACATGAAAAGGTTAGCAGTAATTTTTCCCAGAGTTGTGGCATTTATAGGTTATATTAATTTCTTCTTTGTATAATCTGTATTTTCCAGATTCTCTACAATGGACATGAACTTTTATAATCAGAAAAAAACAGAAAAAAACTTTTATAATCATTTAAAAAGTAAAGGACTAAAGAAAAATTAAGCAGAAGTTATTTAAGGTTTTACAATTATTAAACTGGAAAGGTTTTGTGTTGACCTTCCTTGCCTCTGGGGTGCAACTGGCCTAAGCATCCCAGACAGATGAATGGTTCCTATTTTAAGATCTCACTAGGATAAGCCAGCTTACCTCTGCCTTACAGTCAATTCTGTTGCCCAATAACCAGTGCAAAATGAATTTTCCCTTTATAATACTATTTTATGAAGACATGATCATGAGATACTCTTCTGTGTCTTGTGGAAGTTTTCGTCGTGTAAAGAGATTATTTTTTTCTCTAATATAAGAAAAGGGCCAAATTAATGTTCTTGACTGACAGAAAAAAAACTTAATGCTCCTGCCTGGACTTTATATTTTACTGTATAAAAACAATGAAAGAAGTTGATAATGTAGATATTTAAGAAGAACCAAAAAGGAATAGGAAAGAATGGGTTGTTACATGTCTCCATTAGTTTTCTTTTCAGAGACATTCTATGCATGAAGTATCTGTTTCCTCTGGGTGGCTGTTCTTCTAGTGTTGCATGTGAAACTGATTAGTCTTAGTTTTTCTCATTGGGATTTAGCACACTCTAGTGGACAGTAGCTTTTCAGTTTTCACAGTTTTAAAAAAAATTCTATCAAATTACTTTATTGAACAATTCAGTGATACACTTATTAGTAGTAAAGTTTGTCCGTATTTGAGTCAAGTAGTGACCCTAGTGAGCTGGAGTAACTTTGTCAGCCACTGGGGCATAATTTTTTAGTTGTAGGAGGAGAGGCTTTTAACATTATGTCAGACCTTTTCCCCAGTGGTTTTCATCTTCTCTTGGATGGAATGAAGCTGATGGGGGTAGCCAAAACGTAGAGGAACGCTTGTATCTCTATCCCACACTCTTTAAGTCTTAGAATGTATTTTATGTTTTCACTTTAGGACTTGAGAATTTTTATTTACCAGTTTTGTGACAATTTGGACTGTGTGTAAACATTGTTTTATCCTATATTGATGGATTGTTTTTGGAAATGGGCTTCTGCCAGAAACAAAAATCTTTTATTTTGCTTTTGCAGAGTGATGGTGATGATTTTAATTACATCATTGCATTTTTCCTTGGAACAGCAGCCTGCCTTTACCAGGTAGGTTTTCTTCCATTTTAAAGAAACACTTTACATTATTATTTCAGGTATCAATTGTAACAGTTGATTGTGCATTTTAAATAGATGATCTTAGGTACCCTTTACCTACTTTTCCCCAGTGTTACATCTTGCAAAACTATATAAAACAGTATCACAACCAGAGTATTGATATCTATATAGTCAAGATAGAGAACATTCCTCTCACCACAGGGATCCCTCATGTTGTCTTTTTATAGCCATATCCACTTCCTTCCTTAATCTCAACCCTCCTTGATCTCTGGCAATTACTAACACATTCTTCGTGTCTATAATAAATGGAATTATATAGCATATAATTGGCGTAGTTCAGGATGCTGTAAGAAAATACCGTAGATTGGGTGTCTTAAACAACAGACATTTCTATCTCACGGTTCTGGAATCTGGGAAGTCCAATATCCAGATGCTGGCAGATCACATTCTTGCTTGAGTTCCCTTTTCTGGGCTTGCAGAAGACTGCCTTCTCAGTATATCCTCACACAGAGAAAGTGCTGAGATCTCTTCCTCCTCTTATATGGTCATTGATTCCATTATGGGAGCTCCACCCTCATGACTTTATCTAAGCCTAATTACTTCCCAAAGGCCCCAGCTCCTAATACCATCACATTGGGGATTAAGGACTTCAACATTTGAATTTAGAAAGGACACAAACATTTAGTCTGTAACAGTAACCTTTTGTGATAGCCATTTTTTTACTGAGCATAATTCTCTGGAGATGCAGTCAAGTTGTTGCATAATCAATTATTTGTTGCTTTGTATTGCTGAGTGGTATTCCATGATATGTATTCAGTGTAATATTCAATGATTTGTTCCTTTTTTTTTTAAAGACAGGGTCTTGCTCTGTCATCCAGGCTGGAGTGCAGTTGTGCAATCATAGCCTTAGGCAATCAATCCTCCAACCTCGACCCCCCCCCAAAGCTCTAGGGTTGCAGGTATGAGCCACAACATCCAGCTTCATTTACCTATTGAAGCATATCTGAATTATTTTAAAATTTTGGCTATTATGAAGCTGCTATAAACATTTATGTGCAGGTTTTTGTGTGGATGTAAGTCTTCACTTCTTTGGGTTAAATGCCTGGGAGTACAATTGCCAGGTTATGTGGTAGTTTTATTAAGAAACTGAAAAACTGTTTTCCAGAGTAGCTGTACCATTTTACATTCCTGCCAGCAATGTGTGAGTGATCTAGTTTCTCTACATCCTCAACAGCATTTGGTACTGTCAGTTTTGTTTTATTTTAGCCACTCTGATAAGTGTGTGCTGATAGCTCATTGTGGCTTTAACTTGCATTGTTTAACATGATGTTAAACATTGTTTCATGTATTTGTCATTTATATATTATCTTCAGTGAAATGTCTTCATCTTTTGCTTCTTTTCTAATTGAATTATTTGTTTTTTCACTGTTTCTCTTAATGAGTGTTTTTTGTTTTTTTTTTTTTAAGTACAACTGACCCTTTATATCTGTGGGTTCTGCATCCATGGATTAAAACAACCATGGACTGAAAATATTTAGAAAAAAATTGCATCTGTACTGAACATGTACAGGCTTTTATTTCTTGTCATTCCCTAAAGAATATAGTATAACAGCATTTACAGTGGATTAGGTATTGTAAGTAATCTAGCGATTATTTAAAGTATACAGGAGAATGTGCATAATTTAAATGCAAGTACTGTGCCATTTTATATCAGAGACTTGAGCATCCACAAATTTTGATATCTCGGGGAGGTCCTGAAACCAATCCCCTATGGATACTGAGGGACAACTATTCTAGATACTAGTCCATTGTCAGAAGGGAAGTGTGCAAGTATCCTTTCCCAGTCTCTCTCTCTCTCTCTCTCTCTCTCTCTCTCTCTCTCTGTGTGTGTGTGTGTGTGTGTGTGTGTGTGTGTAAGTTTCAGATCAGTCTATATCTTGTCTTTGCATCCTCTTAACATGGTTTTTCGCAGAACAAAAGTTTTTAATTTTGAAAAAGTTGAATTGATCAATTTTTCCTTTTATGGGTCATGCTTGTGTTGGTCAAGTCTAAGAGCTCTTGGCTTAGCCTAAGTTTCTCTACTATGTTTTTTCTAGACCTTTTTAAATGTTTATTATTTATTTATTTATTTATTTTTTGAGACGGAGTTTCACTCTTGGTACCCAGGCTTGAGTGCAATGGCACAATCTTGGCTCACCTCCTGGGTTCAAGCAGTTCTCTTGCCTCAGCCTTCTGAGCAGGTGGGACTACAGGCGCACGCCACCATGCCCAGCTCATTTTTTTTGTATTTTTAGTAGAGACAGGATTTCACCGTTTTGACCAGGATGGTCTCGATCTCTTGACCTCGTGATTTACCTGCCTCAACCTCCCAAAGTGCTGGGATTATAGGCGTGAGCCACTGCACCCGGCCTTTTTCTAGACCTTTTATTATGGTTTTATATTTTACATTTATCCATTTTGAGCTACTTTTTGTATGAGATACGAGACTTAGATAGTTTAAATCAGGGTTCTTTTTTGCATATATCGCTACAGCACCATTGCTGACTAATTGCTCCAGAACCATCTATGGCAAAGGCAATCTTTTCCTCCACTAAATTGCTTTTGCTCCTTTGCAAAAAAAAAAAAAAAAAAAAAAATTAGCTGGACATACTTGTGTGAGATTATTTCTGGGTTCTGTGTTTTTGTTTTTGTTTTTTTCCTTCCTCGTGTACCACATAGTCTTGATACTGTAGCAGTATAATAAATCATAAACTACATTTTCTTATTGTATAGCTATTCAAATTATGTTTCATGTTGAGTGAATTTATGGTAGTTTGTATTTTTTAAGGAAATAGTCCCTGTCATCTAAGTTAACAAATTTATGTGTTTAGAGTTGGTTGTAGTGTTCTCTTACTGGCCTTTTTAGGTCTCCAGGTCTGTAGTGATACCCTGTTTCATTCCTGATAATGGTAGTTTGCGTCTTCTCTTTTTTTCTTTGTCAGTCTTACTTGTTCATTGTATTGATCTTTTCAAGAACCAGATTTTTGTTTTATTGTGTTTTTTTTTCCAGTTTCAATTTTATTTCTGCTTTTACTTTATGCGTGTTTTGCATTTATTTTGTTTTTTTTCTAGGTTCTTGGAGCTTACATGATTGGTTTGAGAATTTTCTTTTTTATAATGTATGCACTAACGCTTAAAGATTTCCATCTTAGCCTTTCTTTAGCTATATTCCATAAATTTTGATATGTTGTATTTCCATTTTCTTTTATTTCAATTTTTAAAATTTCCTTAAGACTTCCTGTTTGACCTATGAATTATTTAGAATCACATTGTTTCGCTTCTAAATGTTTAAGGATTTTCTTATCTTTCTATTACTGATTTCTAGTTTGATTCCATTGTGATCAGAGAAAACACACATTGTGTGATTTCATTTCTTTAAATTTGTTCAGCTTTCTTTTATGGCTCCAAAATGTGGTCTGTTTTATTATATGTTTCATAGCCACTTGAACAGAATGTACATTCTGCTATTATTGAGTGAGTGTGTTCTAGAAATATTTAGATCATGTTGCTTGGTATTGTCAGGTTCTATATTCTTGCTGATTTTCTGTCTAGTGTTATGCTAGCTGGCTAGAGAAGAGTACTGGATTATAGATTTTTCCGTTTTGTACTTCAGTTCTATTTTGCTTCATAAGTTTTGTAGCTATGTTGTTTGGTTCATACACATTTAGGATTGCTGTGTCTTCTGGGTGGGTGGACCCATTATCATTATATAATGTTCCCCTCTGTCCCTGGTTATTTTCTTTGCTTTGAAATATTTTGGTATTTATCTGATATCAGTGTAGCCACTTTTGCTTTCTTTTAATTACTGTCTATGTGATATACCCTCTTCCATTCTTTACCTTTAACTTTCCTATATTATATGAAGTGAGTTTCTGACAGTGTCGAGTTGATTCCTGTTTTTTAATCTACCCTGCCAATCTGTCTTTTCATTGCTGTATTTAAGTCATATATAGTTAACACATTATGGATATGTTAGGGCTTATTTTTAGTTTTGTTTTTCATTTTTCTGGTATTTTTTTCTTTATCTTCCTGTGGGTTACTTTAACATTTTAAAAGAATTCCATTTCAGTTTATCTGTAGTATTTTTGAGTATATCTCTTTGTATAGCTTTTTAGGTGTCAACATTTTAGTAATTCAAGACACCTCCCTAGATGTGTTTGTTTTTGCCCTCCCCCATTTATAATTGGCTAAGATATTTTCTCTACATATATTTAGAACCACATTACACAGTGTTTTAATGATTTTTGTTTTAACTATTAAACATAATTTAGAAAACTCAAGAGGAAAAAGAAAGCCTATTGTATTTACCTATATTTCTGCATACCGTGTCCTTTTTTCTTTCCCAGTGTTTCAAGATTTCTTGTTTTTATTGTTTTCTATTTAGAGAACTTCCTCTTACCATTCTTTTATAGTAGATTGGCTAGCAACAAATTCTCTTAATCTTTCAACTGAGAAATGTTTTTATTTTCCTTTTATTCCTAAGGGATATTTTTGTTCAATACAGAATTCTGGATTTGGCAACATTTTTTTTCTTTCAGCCCTTGAGAAATATTCTTTTTTTCTGGCCTCTGTGATTTCTGATGAGAATCCCACTGTCTTGTTACTGATTAAAAGTGAATTGTCTTGTTACTCTCAAGTGAAGGTGGATGCCCAGAGCCCCAAGAGTTCTCCACCAACATCACAATAAGAGGGTAGAGGAGGGGCTCATTGCCATCTAGTGGGAATGAAAGTCTTGGCTTCTACCTGCCTTCTCTGAAACCATGCTGAAGGGTTAGAACATCTGCTTACAAGGTTCTAGGCTCTCTACTCAATATTTGATGGTATGGGTGTGGGTGGGTCACAGGTTTTGTGTGTGTGTGATGTTTGGCTGGAGTATAATAGTTACTGTTTAGAAGTTTTCTGTCTTGCTAAGATGCTCTTTCCTGGTCTTTTACTAGAGGGCCAGCAAGATCTTATTGAGGGTTTTGTTGTTGTTGTTTGTTTTAATATGCATGCATTGGCATTTCTAGTTGCCAGCTTCTCCAGCTCCAAGTCTGGCATATATGAAGCAAAAAAGAAAACTCGGCGAACCTATCACTGTGTCATTCCTTGGATTTCAAGATACTCTATTTGTCTGCTTTTTTCCACAGTTCAGAGTCTTCTTATGCTTATTTTACATATACTGTCCAGTGTTTTTAGTTGTACTTAGTGGAAGAAATAGGGAAGAGTGTGTCTACTCCCATCTTCCCAGAAACAGAAGTCTCTGAGCAGTTGAGTAAGTTACAGGCATCATGATATTTTACCTTAAAATACTTCATGATGTATCTTCTACAAACAGACATTGGGCCAGCCACGGTGGCTCATGTCTATAATCCCAGCACTTTGGGAGGAAGAGGCGGGCGGGTCACCTGAGGTCAGGAGTTCAAGACCAGCCTGGCCAACATGGTAAAACCCTGTCTCTACCAAAAATACGAAAATTAGCTGGATGTGGTGGCAGGTGCCTATAATCTCAGCTACTCGGGAGGCTGAGGCATGAGAATTGCTGTAACCCAGGAGGCAGAGGTTGCATTGAGCCAAGATCGCACCTTTGTACTCCAGCCTGGACAAGAGCAAAACTCTGTCTCAAAAACAACAACAACAACAAAAAACACAGACTTCTTTCTACATAGCTAGGACTTCATAGCACATCTAAGACTATAACACTGATACAATATTATCTTGATACAGGATACCTGCTCAGATTATTTCAGTTGTCTCCAAAATGTTTTTTGTGGCTATATTTCCCCTGATCCAGGATTATGCGTTTCATTTGGATGTCATGTATCTTTTGATCTATGATACAGTCTCCCAGCCTTTTTGTTGTTGTTCTGTTTTATATTGGTTTTGTCTTTCATAACATTGACTTTTTAAAGAGTTTAGGCAAGTACCATATAAAATGACCCACAATCTAGATTAGTCCGTTACTCCTGACATGCATACCATGTCAGGTTATGGTTAAATATTCTAATTTAAAAGGATTGAGGTTAAATATTCTGGCAACAGTGCTATATAGTATAATATGTTGACTGTCATTGCATCAGTCATAAGTTTGATCATTTGGTTAAGATGGTGTCTACCAGATCTCCATTGCAAAGATATCTTTTTCTTCTTTGTAATTAATAAGTAATATGTGGGGTAGAAACCATTATTTTAAAAGCCCTGGAAAACCATGAATTAAATATGCATATTTTTTAATTACCAGAAAAGCTAGCTTATTTTTACGATAGGATTCTGAGAAATAAATACAGTTAGAAAAATGGAAATACAAAATCGCCATTAAGCAAACAACACAATAATAATTGTTGCAGGCAAGAATTACAAATGAATACAAAAATTAGTGGGCAAAAGTATGATGAGATAAGATATTCACATAATCTCAATTCCCTGTCCCCAAGACATTTAATAATTGTAAAGGGAATAGATACCACCTTATTAAATGATCTAATTTAACATTATCAGTAATAACATGTATTGCGTATCACCTCTGTGGCATTGTTGCCAAAATTGCGTAACTTCATTTCAAACTTGATAAAACAGACACACCCAAGTTGAGGAACATTCCTACAACATAACGGATTAATACTCTTTGAGACTGTCAAGGGCATGAAAAATTAAAAAAAAAAAAAAAGGGCAGTTACAGGTTGGAATAGGCATGACAACTAATGCAATACAGAATCCCAGGTTAGATTCTGGACCAGAAAAAGGACCCTAGTGGGACAGTTGGCAAAATCTGAATAAAGTCTGTAGATTAGCTAAGAGTATTGAATCAATGTTAATTTCTTGGTTTGATGAGTATATCATGATTACATAAGAGGATAACAAGGGGACAGGGTGAAGAGTATATAGGAAGTTTTTTTAGCATCTTTAAGTCTAAAATTATTCCCAAAAAAAGGCTGTATTTTTTCTATTTTTTCAACCTTTCATGATGAAAATTACTGATAAAATAAATACTTCCAATTCATTTTGTTTGGATAGCAACCTTCTTTTTAAGTAAACAAAGTCCAAATTTGTATAAGAACTAAACGTGTTTAACAGAACAGTTCCACATTCTTTATTATAACAGACACTGGAATGTCCTTCCCATTCTGAAGCATGGATACAGTTCACAGAGAGACCTGTGCTTCTCTGTTTAGACTTAGTGGTACCTATATTTACCAGGTTATGAATTTTAGACATCACAGTTCACTCAACACATCAAGCACTTATTATGTCCCAGGCACTGCTCTGGGCACTAGAGATAAATGAGTAAATAACAGTAAAAAAAAAATCTCACACCTCATGAATCTTAGATTCTATTGAAAGCCTACGAATGACAAAATAAGCACATTTCTCAAGTATGTTTATAGTATGTTATGGAGAAAGATAAAGCAGTAAAGGGTGAATGCCAGGATGGGCAGGGGTGGTGCAGGGGAGGACTTCCTTTACTATTTTATCTAAAATAGCACCCACTATCATTCCCTATCCCTTTTCCTGCTTTCTCTCTTTCAAGATATAACTATTTGATATATATTTAAAATACATTTATAATTCTTCCCCATTAAAATTTAATCTCTGTGTGAACCAGGGCTTTGTTTTACCCACAACTGAAGAACAATGCCTGACTGTAGCAGGCTCTCAATAAATATTTGTTGAATTCTTCCTCAAATGTTGAGTCAGATGCTGTACCTAGCATAGTGCCTTGTAGTCACTCAATGGGGGACTAGTAAAATTTGGTGGATTTCATTAATACTCAGACTCAGGTTCTATAAGAGTCCATTTTGTAGAATAGCTTGTATGTGCTTTTTGTAGTTTTCTGGGTGAGAATGGAACCCCGCAGACCCTGGGAATGCTTCTTAGTTGCATGTCATCATGGGGAATTTCCCCAGCCTGTTTGCAAGGGAGTCATTTCATTGTACTTCCATTTAAAATATGATACAAAATGCTTTTCTTTTGAAAAATGAAAAACATAAGAGGAAAAGTCTTTCCCTTTCATACTGGGGAACTTTCATAGCTGAATGTCTTAGATATATGCTACATTATTTTATCCCTAGATAAAAAATAACCTTACCCATTCTTATAGTTTACTCTCTGGCCTGTTACAATTTTATATTAGAAACATCTGTTTCTTTTCCTGTACCCTTAATCGTCTTTCATTTTTATATTTTGAACAGTGTTATTTGCTTGTCTACTACACCGGCTGGCGGAATGTCAAATCTTTTTTGACTTTTGGCTTAATCTGTCTATGCAACATGTATCTCTATGAACTGCGCAACCTCTGGCAGCTTTTCTTTCATGTGACTGTGGGAGCATTTGTTACACTACAAATCTGGCTAAGGCAAGCCCAGGGCAAGGCTCCCGACTATGATGTCTGACACCGTCCTTCAGATCTGTTACCTTGGCTTCAGGGAGGAAAGGAGGGAACATACCATAACTGCCACTGTGATGAAGGAAGCTCTTCCCCACAGAGGAGAAGCTCTGCTTTCTTTCTCTCCAACTTTCCTTTTTTAAAATCAGCATGGCATGCCTGTGAGCATGGAAGACCTGCTAGGAAAAGTCCTGTCAGAAGAATGTTGGCCATGAGATTATCAGAGAAGGGGGAGATTTCTCTCTTCAAGGCCGTGACAGTGGAAGGACAGTTATATGCCATTGGAAGACTTGGCCGGCAGTTCTGAATCCTTCCTGAAGAGTTCAAAAAATAGATGTTGTACTTACTCTGAGGACCAGGCAGGAGGAACTCTACAACCTGCGTTTGCCTTTGTGAGGCACTAGTATAGACCAAATAAAAAGCTGCAGAAATTGGAAAGTTCGTTTTAAATAAATGACTGTGATAAATATCAGATTATTTGCACATTTATAGTACTAAGAGTTTATAAAGTCCAAGATGGTGTGAAATTGGTTTTTACTTTTATATCTTTGCTTGAATCTTAACTCTGGAAATCACCTGATACAGAAGAAGGCTGTGATGAGCTCATCTCTGGAACATCGCAAGTATTGAAAATACAGTAACGTATGTTTCCTTTTTAATCCACATTTGTTGTTTGTTTTGAAATTACGTCTCAAAACTATGACTCAGACTATAGCCATTGTTTCCCAAACTTCAGTTTCTTGAGTACTGCTTGTATTACTATTTTCTTAATATTTATCTTTTACATTTTAAAGTTTTTTAAAAAATGAATCCTACTCCAAGTGGAAAACAAGTATCAGTAAGGTAACCACAAAATAAGTAAGATCAACACAGAAAATGTTGTACAGTTATAGCTAGAAACTGATGCCTAGAAAGGCTCTGAATCGGAGGCTCGCTCTTTGTGGCAGTGAGGGTGTTACCAGCACTGGCGTGAGGTGCTGCCTCTGGAATAATCACAGGATAAACGGGAACTGTAAAGGGAATGACATTCTCGCTGTGATTCAGCATTATTTTATGTTGTGCACCACTTAAAGACATCTTGTGTGCCACCAGTGGTATGGGTCCTGCACTATGGAAATACTTGACTGTACTAAGAAGCAGAAGATGGCTTTCCTAGCAACTCATTATTTTATGGCTTTGAGGAATTAAGCCCCTAGTATCTGAGAGAACTTACTTGCTTTTTGATAATGTTTTAAAGATTGTTTAAGCAGTTATGAATTAATGATATAGGAAGCACAGTTTGATTCCATTAGCAAAATCTTTGACTCTCATGGTTTTAGAAGCCATCTTCAAGAATGATTTTCCTTTGTTTAAAATATTTCAAACAAGGAATTCATAGGATACTGAAATTTGATATCATACAGAAAAACAGTCGACCCCACTGCATTGTAATTGTTGTTACTGGGCTCATTTATTAAGTAGAAGAAATAGTCGAGAGGATAAAGTCGGTGAACTGTCTTGTTTGTGTGAAGCAGTATTTATGGAATCTGTCTAGAACTGTAAAACCTTGCTTAACTAGAACCTTAGTTGGCACTCTCCTTTTAGAAGAATGAGGTAAAAGGAAGACAATAAGCTTATGATATCAGGGATTCATGTAAAACTAGAAACTGTAGTTTGCTCCAGTTTTCTGCTCTAACAAGCCTGCTCCAAAATTATGCATATTCTGAGATCAGGCATCACAAGATCCTAAATCATCAAAAAACCATTGAATTTTGTTGGGCATTTTGTAGCCTGGAAAGCGTAGTGGTTCCATTTAGAAAGTTTTGCAGGCAAGGCACGGTGGCTCACGCCTGTAATCCCAGCCCTTTGGGAGGTGGAGGCAGGTGGATCATTTGAGATCAGGAGTTTGAGAACCAGCCTGGCCAACATGGTAAAACCTCATCTCTACTAAAAATACAAACATTAGCTGGGCGTGGTGGCATGTGCCTTTACTCCCCGCTACTCAAGAGGCTCGGGCAGGAAAATCGTTTGAACCTTGGAGGTGGAGGTAGCAGTGAGCTCAGATCACACCACTGCATTCCAGCCTGGCCGACAGAGCGAGACTGTCTCAAAAAGAAAAATATATATGAAATGTTTTTCTGAACTGATGGATAAAACAGGGTTTTTTTGTAAATAGTCAACTGGAAAGTTGGAGCATCCTGGTTAATTGAGATTTTGCTCTCTGTTGGTACAGCTCCTACCAGTTTGGTTCAGGAGTACCTCCTTGTCATTGAATTGATGAGTTGTAATGTTTAGTATTCAGATACATTCAGCAAGAACACTTGAAAACTCCTCACCAGTTATTTTTAAAGGCTTGCTTTGTTTTTTGTTTCTATTTTTTTACTGGCTATTTTGGATAAGAGAATGTTTACATCTTAATGTAAAAAAAATGAAAACAGTATAAATATTTTCTGTATAGAAATGTTTTCTTTCATTATTTGGTGCCTGTATCTCTGAGTGTTTATATCATTGCCCTGCCTGTATCATGTTGCCTGCCCCCGCCCCACACAAAAAAAAACAACACTGAATTTGGAGAGAAATTGGTGTAAAGAAGTCCTTAGACTCTTTAGAAAGAATCACTTTAGGCCTCCAAGGTGTATGATCTGTTTATATTGCACTTTTACTTCTAAGAATAAGTCTGAATTTACCTCCTTATAGTGAGTTTTGGAGCATAGGAGCAGTAGTATCTGCCCTCATGCTAAGAGGGAGGACACAGAAGCGATCAGATGGTAATGACTTGCCCAGCTCACATAGCTGAGCACACACAACCCTAATCTCCTAGTACAGGGTTCTTTGCTCTAGCATGGAACTATGAAGGTGACCAGTGTTATATTCAGGGAATATGACTGTTCTCGGTAAAGCCACGGAATTGAGGTGTTCTGAAATTGGTGAGTCCAGGCCTGCTGCTGGGGTATTTTATCCTAATAGGTGTATTTTATTTTAGATAATTCCTAAATACTGCTTTTTGATTAAGGTGTACCATGAGAGCAAAGATACCTTCTTTTATGTACTCAAAAGAATTGCAATATTTGCTTGCTGTTTTCGGTCTGTATTTGAAATGTATTTTTAAAATTACACTTTAAGTTCTAGGGTACATGTACAGAACTTGCAGATGTGTTACAAAGGTATATACGTGTCATGGTGATATGCTACACCCATCAACCCATCATCTACATTAGGTATTCCTCCTCATTTTATCCCTCCCCTAGCTCCCCACCTACCAACAGTCCCCAGTGTGCAATGTTCCCTTCCCTGTGTCCATGCATTCGTTGTTCAACTCCCACTTATGAGTGAGAACATATGGTGTTTGGTTTTCTGTTCTTGTGTCAGTTTGCTGATAATGATGGTTTCCAGCTTCATCCATGTCCCTGCAAAGGACATGAACTCATCCTTTTTTATGGCTGCATAGTATTCCATGGTGTGTATGTGCCAAATTTTCTTTATCCACTTTATCACTGATGGGTATTTGGGTTGGTTTCAAGTCTTTGTTATTGTGAACAGTGCCACAATAAACATATATGTCCATGTATCTTTATAGTAGAATGATTTATAATCCTTTGGGTATATACCCAGTAATGGGATTGTTGGGTCAAATGGTATTTCTAGTTCCAGATCCTTGAGGAATCATCACACTGTCTTCCACAAGGGTTGAACTAATTTATACTCCCACCAACAGTGTAAAAGCATTCTGATTTCTCCACATCTTCTCCAGCATCTGTTGTTTCCTAACTTTTTAATGATTGCCATTCTAATGGCATGAGATGGTGTCTCAATGTGGTTTTGATTTGCATTTCTCTAATGACCAGTGATGAGCTTTTTCTCATGTTTGTTGGCTGCATAGACACTCTTTAGAGAAGTGTCTGTTCATATCCTTTGCCCACTTTTTGATGGAGTTGTAGGTTTCTTTCTTGAAAATTCAAGTTCTTTGGAGATTCTGGATATTAGCTGTTTGTCAGATGAATAGATTGCAAAGATTTTCTCCTATAGGCTGCCTGTTCACTCTGATGACAGTTTGTTTTGCTGTACAGAAGCTCTTTAGTTTAATTAGATCCCATTTGTCTGTCTTGGCTTGTGTTGCCATTGCTTTTGGTGTTTCAGTCATGAAGTCTTTGCCCATGCCTATGTCCTGAATGGTATTGCCCAGGTTTTCTTCTAGGGTTTTTACAGTTTTAGGTCTTACATTTAAGTCTTTAATTCATCTTGAGTTAATTGTTGTGTAAGGTGTAAGGAAGGGAGCCAGTTTCAGCTTTCTGCATATGGCTAGCCAGTTTTCCCAACACCATTTATTGAATAGGGAATCCTTTCCTCATTGCTCATTTTTGTCAGGCTTGTCAAAGATCAGATGATGGTAGATGTGTGGTGTTATTCCTGAGGCCTCTGTTCTGTTCCATTGGTTTATATATCTGTTTTGGTATGAGTACCATGCTGTTTTTGTTATAGTAGCCTTGCAGTATAGTTTGAAGTCAGGTAGCATGATAGCATGATGTCTCTAGCTTTTTTTTTTTTTTTTTTTTTTTTTTTTTTTTTTTTTTTGCTTAGGATTGTTTTGGCTATGGGGCTCTTTTTTGGTTCCATATGAAATTTAAAGTAGTTTTTTCCAATTCTGTGAAGAAAGTCAATGGTAGCTTGATGGGGTTAGCATTGAATCTATAAATTACTTTGAGCAGTATGGCCATTTTCATGATATTGATTCTTCCTATCCATGAGCATGGAATGTTTTTCCATTTGTTTGTGTCCTCTCTGATTTCCTTGAGCAGTGGTTTGTAGTTCTCCTTGAAGAGGTCCTTCACTTCCCTTGTAAGTTGTATTCTAGGTATTTTATTCTCTTTGTAGCAGTTATAAGTGGGAGTTCACTCATGATTTGGCTGTTTGTCTCTTATTGGTGTATAGGAATGCTTGTGGTTTTTGCACATTGATTTTGTATCCTGAGACTTTGCTGAAGTTGCTTATCAGCTTAAAGAGATTTTGGGCTGAGATGATGGGGTTTTCTAAATATAGTCATGTCATCTGCAAATAGAGACAGTTTGACTTCCTCTTTTCCTAATCGAGTGCCCTTTATTTGTTTTGCATGACTGCCCTGGCCAGAACTTCCAATACTATGTTGAATAGGAGTGGTGAGAGAGGGCTTCCTTGTCTCATGCCAGTTTTCAAAGGGAAGGGAATGTCCATTCAGTATGATATGAGCTGTGGGTTTGTCATAAGTAGCTCTTATTTTGAGATACATTCCATCAATACCTATTTTATTTAGAGTTTTTAGCATGAATGGCTATTGAATCTTGTCGAAGGCCTTTTCTATCTATTGAGATAATCGTGGTTTTTGTCATTGGTTCTGTTTATGTGATAGATTATGTTTATTGATTTGCATATGTTGAACCAGCCTTGAATCCCAGGGATAAAGCCAACTTGATCATGGTGGATAAGCTTTTTGGTGTGCTGCTGTATTTGGTTTGCCAGCATTTTATTGATGATTTTCACATCAATGTTCATCAGGGATATTGGCCTGAAATTTTCTTTTTTTTGATGTGTCTCTGCCAGGTTTTGATATCAGGATGATGCTGGCCTCATGAGTTAGTGAGGATTCCCTCTTTTTCTGTGTGGAATAATTTCAGAAGGAATGGTACCTGCTCCTCTTTGTAACTCTTGTAGAATTCAGCTGTGAATCCGTCTGGTCCTGGACTTTTTTTGGTTGGTAGGCTGTTAATTGTTGCTCCAATTTCAGAACTTGTTATTGTTCTATTCAGGGATTCGGCTACTTCCTGGTTCAGTCTTGGGAGGGTGTATC